TGGTCTGCCACTGCCCAGCTCATCCCCATCCGACATCCCGCTGGACGATGTCCGCATGGCCACGTCGTTGGTACGTCCCGCACCGCCGGGTGATCCCCCCCCCTACCCCCCTACCCCACACATCTCTGCCATCCCACCCACCCCTGACAAAGACCCCCCCACCTGCGCCATAGCTCTTCCCCTTGGTAGCGGGCCGCGTGCCGGCCAGCGATGACCCGCTGCTCGCGTCGAGCCTTGCTCCCCTCTTCGAGCGGATGCTTGCCGGCTACACGGCGCTGCTTGACCGTCCGGCTGACCTGACAGCCAATGACCGGGCCATTTCGCGCCTGGCCCTGGCGGCCCTGCGTGCCATCTGTCTTGGGGCCGCCTCGTCTCGGCGGCTCAACGACACCCCGGACATCTATGGTCGCATGGTGTCGGCCCTGGTGCGGGTCGTGCGACTCGCGAACAAATGGTCTGCCCAAGATCTCTTCGACAAGCGCGCCGTGGCGTCCATGGGTCCCGTGGGCGCCGCTGGCGACCTCGCGAGGGATATGTCAACCCTGTATGTGCTTGGCCTGCCGCGGCTGGCATGATGGTTGATTGAGCCTTTTTTGCCCTCCTCCTTCCCTGGGTGTGGACGTCAGTCCTGACCGCCGTGTGCTGGGTGTGACTTCTGCCTGCTTTGCTTTTTGTCCCCCCCCCCCCCCCCCCCACCCCGCCGTTTGCCCTCCAGCCACTGGGTCCATCGTCGCATGCTCGGCTGCCACGCGCTGCGGACCCTGCAACACCTGGCCAGCCAGGCCGATGCGACCACCATCAAGTGGCTGCTGGATCCGATCTTGAGGCTGAGGTGCGTGTCGTCTGGCCCTCTTTTCCCTTCCCACATCATTCTTCCGAAGCACCCGAAATTGACCCATGCTCCCTCCTCCCCCCTCACCCTGGGCTACGATGACAATGTGTTTCTCTCCCCCCCCCCCCCCAGCTGGCGCAAGTATAAGACCCACAGCGGGGCCTGGCCATACGAATTTGTTGCCAATATGATCCTCCAGCTTCGGAAGCACCTTGACGTGCGTGCCCTTCCGCCGCCCTCTCACACGGTCACGCGCCCTCCCTTGCCCTTCTCACACACATGCATGCATACGCAGGCGAGCGACGTCCATGCCCTGTTCGCCTACCTGATCGACCGGATCAAGGCCTTTCAAGCCGACGACCTGGACAAAGGCACCTTCCTGTGTGATACGATGCATTTGGTGCTGGTCCTGCGGATGGTCTTCGAGGGGATATTTCCGTCGGGTTTCAGCGAGGCCAGGCAGCCGCCGGCACTCTTCGCCCTGCCGTCAGCCGAGGCCCTCTCGATGTACCTGGCGGACCTTGGGCAGGAGGAGCCGGCCCGAGGCGAATACCAGCCGGACGCCCTGCTGGGTGGTGGTACCCCGAGCGCCGACCGGTCGTCCCCTTCCCCGGCCAACAGTGTGGGGGGGCTCTTGAGCAGTGGTCTCTCGGAGACCGGCGCCGAGGCCCATGGAACCGGCCCATCGCCGATGCACATGCCCATAGTCGAAATGTTGGAGTGCTGTCTTGGCCACTGGTCCCTGAGATATCCATACCAAGTGCGCCTGCACATCGTCGAAAGGAAGTGGAGCTCCATGCCCGTCGTATCTCAGAAATGTATGGAGCTGCCGCCGCTCGATGCCGATCCGATCCTGGTGGAGAACCTGCAGTCAAAGGTCTTCAAGCTGTGCTGGCTCCTGCTGTCGCTGGCTCAGGTGCTGATCCGCCGTATTGACACCCTGACAGACCGGATGGCCTGCTCACTGTCTACCCTGCGCATCATAACGGCCCTGGCTGGCGGCGAGCTGGATGAGGCCACCATGGATCATCGTTTGCCGGTGTTGGTTAACACGGCCGGGCGAATTGCCCGGGCTCCGGTGCAGTCCTACGACTGGACCAGCCCGCTGTTGAGCTCGGCCAGCCAGCTCTCCACCCTGGCGGTGGGGAATCTGTCGAGTCCGAAATTCGGTGCGCACACAGGGCAATGTGGGGCGGGAGGAGTGGGGGGTGGCGGTGGTGGGGGGCGGGGGGTGCTACGCGATCAATTGCTGCCCTTGGGCCGCATTCGCCCTCGACAGAGGCCATGCAAGCTTCGATCAGATACACGCACCCACGCACATGCATACGCACATAATAACATGGTGCTTTGTTCAGCCGTTCGAAGTTGCACGTATGTGCTGCTGCACAAGCTCCTCCGCGCGATGCTCGATGAGGTACCGGGCGGCCGGCGCCCGGGGCAGTCGGTGCTGGCTGCCTTTGCCAAGGCACATGGCGGGCGCCTGCTCGCGTCGCTGACGTCGGTCTTCAGCCGGGAGCTGACTCTCACCTCGGCTCCGGCCCCCGGGGCGGATGCCCTGTCGATGTGCGACATTCTCGGCCTGGTGGTGGCCTTGGCCGACTACACCGGGCTGCAGGCGGCGGCCGCGGCGGCCGACGGCACGGGCGACCCGGCGGTCCTGCCCGCGGCAGGCGCCCTGGCTGTGGCCGCTGTGGTGGCGGCATTGGCCGCGGCGGCCGACTCGGCATCCGCCTCGCCCTCGACCCGGGCGGCACACACGCACAACCTCCTGGCTCTGGTGGCGTGTCTGTACCTGAGCCGTCTCAGTGCCCTGGTGCCGGCTGCTGTGTGCCCCGTGCCAACCGGTGTCCATGAGCAGCTGCTTCAGGCCACCAGGGCGGCGGTGGATCTGGCCGCGCTGGCTGCCGCTCTACCGGAGTTTGAACCATACCTGACTGATCTGAGCATGGCCCTGTCGATCGCTGGCGGCATTGCTTTCGCCCCGGAGGATCTGACATACGCTCCCCTTTGTCCCCCTCCCTCCCCTCCGTACGTGCGCGTGCACGCCCACACACACACACACACACACAAGCATACACGCATCCATGCCCTTTTTCTTCTCCTTGATACTTCCTGCTCCCCCCCCCCCCCCGCCCCCAATGCCCGTGACTCTGTTGCCCTCGGTCACTGACCGCATGGCGTGCTATCCTTCTGACGCCTCGCCCCCCGGCCGACATGACAACATGTAGTGCCTCCATCCGTTTGGTTGCGTTTGATTGGGTGGGCCTGACATCGGCGCTGGCCTGCTCGGCCGACGAGCTCGGCACCGAGAAGGCCGGGTTATTGTCCCACTCGGACGAGGCGCGTCTGGCTCTTGCGGCGCTGGTGGCCAAGACCCGGCCAGAGTTCCGGGCTTCGGCTTTGGATGCGGCGGGCAAGGCCTCCCAGGAGGAGCGGCGCGCCGCCTGAGCCGACGCCTGGTGGCCCGCATGACGCGCACACTTCGTGCAATACCCCCCTCCCCCCTCCCCCCTCGTGGACAGTCAGGCGATTCACGCATCCTCCAACACTTGGGGGTGAACGCCCGGGTCCGGGTAGTTGAGGTCACAGGCCTCACCCACATGTCCGATACCCCGGCTCCGTTGCCAATCGTCCCTCCCCGATTGGAACGAGCCCTGTCCGGAACCTGAACATAATGAACGTGACTATGATATGAAGGTGTCACTGTAGGTGTGTGTGTGTGTGTGTGTGTGTGTGTGTGTTTGTATGTTTGTATGTATGTGTGTATAAGAGAGAGAGAGAGAGAGAGACAGAGAGAGGGATAGAACGGGGGCCAGCCCCCGGGGCGGTACTCATTCAACACTCTCACCAGAGACGGGTCCCTGGTTCCTCGGGACCGGCGGGCCCGGAGAAAATTCGAACCTCCGACACGGCCGACCCCACCACCAGTGGCACAAAGAATGGCATGGAGCTCGGGAAAAAGCCGCTCGCCAGGGATTGGTCCAGGGGCTCCACCGGCATGGTCCAATCATTCAGGCAGAAGATCGCCCCAAGGCACTGGCCATTCAGGGCAAAGGACACGGTGCCCGTGTGGCGGAAGTACCGAGCCTCGACAACGAGATTCACCTCCGGAGCGGACAACGGCAAGATGCCCAAAGTCAGGTCACAGCCAAAGCGCTGGTCCAGAGCCGCGTCATCGGCATCGCTGCAAAAGTCATCGACCAAGCGCGAGGTGTCATTCATCGACGACCGGAAGAACCGCGACACCTGGAGGTAGGCCATGGGGGAACCTTCCTTCGGCCGGGGGGCCTGCGGCCCGGCACCCGCCCCGCCAAAAGACCGCCCCGAGGGGCTGACCATCAGACGAAGCATGGCCATCGAGTGGTCCATATACGGAAGCAGCGGGTTCATGTGCGGGTCCCGGATCCTCGTGTGGAGGAGTTCCAGCCGGTGTGGGTCGATCACGCCGGTCTCGGAGAAATTCAGCCAGCCAATGCTGACATCGGCGCCCATGCGCGCGTGCAAATGCACCCGAAAGACCGCGCAGCCAGGAGACGAAGGGCCGTTTTTCGGGCGCGGCACCGGCAGCACATGCTCGTAGTCCAGCAGACGTGACCCGTGCGAGTGCTTGTCCGAAGCGCTCACCGGCTCCAAAATCCGAGCCCGACAGAGAGTCCCCCGGCCGGACATCGAAGCGTCCCCCAAAAAGACCAACATCCGGCCTGGCGGACACCCGAGAGGATACGATTCCTGGTGGCAGATTTGCAGGCCATTTCGCACGGTGAACCCGGTCATCAGCTCATCCAGCGGCAGCGCCGTCAAGCAGGTGGAGAAGTCGGCCTGCTGCAGGGCCACCATCAACATGGGGGCCGGATCATTGACCGGGAAGATGTCCAGCCGGGGTGCAGGCACACCGGCAGCCAGGAGCCGGTTAACCTGGGGGGTTGCCGCCAGCGCCAGCGCCGCTGGCCACTGGGGCTGGCTAGGCCCCACATGCAGGACCGACCAGATGGTGGCCGCCCCAAGGACCGGTCGGCGACAAATGGCCGACTGCCAGGTGGCAGGGCGTCGGCGCGTGGTGGCCATCTGCGCACGTGCCAAATGCCGCCGAAGCCGCATGATCGTCGGAACCCGGGGGCTATCATCGGAAAGTGCACCGTCCACAAGGACCGAGTGGGAGTACTCGGTCGAAATGAACAGCAGCCCAACCTCCCCTGTGGGAGGGTCAGCCTCCTCCGGCAGGAGGAGGGTCATCTGCCGGATGAGGTCATTATAATGGTCTCCCTCGTCGGACAGAAGTCCTGCCAATGATACTGATGTTAGCGAGGGCCCGAGGGGGACGGGCGGACATGGGCAGAGAGTGTGTGCACGGGTCAAGCAGCACCCCTGCGACGTACCTTCCTGGCGGAAGGCCATGAGAATATCAACCACATGGAGGAGGGATTGCTGATGCGCTGGAGCTGAGACGCTCAGCACCGGGGCCAAATGCCGCCAGTAGCCCATCAAGAGGAGGCACCACTCACTGGCAGACGGGCCATCAATGCTCAGGCGGATGGTGCCTAAGTTGACATGTGTGTGTATGTGAGTGCGAGAGAGTGCGAGAGGGAGGGAGAGAGAGAGGGAGGGAGAGAGAGAGGGAG